AAAAAGACACAAAACTATTTACATGTTCTAAGCAAAAAATCCAAAATTACTACACAGATATCACTTCCTTAAAAGCAGCATTAAAGTGCAGGCACACATTTTTGACATTGCTCGATTGTCATAAGCGGAGCCAGTAGTAGAAATCTAAACCCAGGAACATACAAAGGGCAAACATTAATATAATTTGAACCTTCCTTTAAAATTTGTTGTTTTTGTGAAAGAAAAGCCGCATTAAATTGAGGTTTGGACTTGCCTCAACATAAGGGTCATAGGGACACATTCTGACTCATTGCATGTCAATGATAGCGTGCATGTTAGATAAAACTTATCTGGTAAAGGCAAAGTGTGACCCCATTCAGCCTAGCATACAACGCTCAGTATAATCAAATTTGTTTCATTTTCAGATAAGCTGGGTTAAACATTTTAATAACGTTGACCTTAAATTTAAACTGAAGGGAGCCTTCAATTTTCTTAGTAGGCAATATAAAACAGATTTACGGTTTTAGATCCTCCATTATTGTGCACAATCTAACTTAAATGTTGAAATATGTAAAAAGCCTACAAGCGCTCGGTGACTGCTATAACAGTTTAAAGTGACCCCGTGCCTTGACAATGCTCAGTATTTACATATTCTGAACAATCTTGTAAAAGCATTTCCAAGCAAGTGCCAATTCACTTCTGTAGCTGCAAGCATTGTGGAGAAATTCATCTTAGATAGAAGCACTAAAAACTGAGCTCTTCTCCCATTGCTTTATATTGCAACAATCTCTTTAGCAGCCTGCCAGCCCACAGAACGTGTTTCTAAATTGTTAAGCTTTCCACACACAACAATCTGATTGTACAATCTCATTTACATCTATCAACATTTACTGGAAGGGCCTGCCCGACTGGAAACAAATTGTAATAGGACGACCTAACAAAGCCAATCAGTTTTGGTAAACCTAAAATGGAGTGTACAAGGTTTGCAGTCAGACTTTAGTGTTTTTCTTATGATCTTTGAGAATTAACTACTTCAAAGTAAAAGCAGCTCGAGGGGTCAGGTATGGCTTGTTTTAACGTGCTTTTAGCACTTCAAGTAAATACTTTAATGTCCACAGTCTGGCCACAGGCACACTTTATGCTTTTATACTCGAACCATGAAAAGTACCTGGAAACAATGTATAGTTTTAAGTGCTGAATGTCATCAGTTACAGAGGTGAAATTTACCTTTGTAAAAGATCCTTTCATGAGGCAAAACACCATTTTCAGTAGGCTTGGATACAAGAAGCCATTCCTAACTCAGTCTACACACTAAATTGCAAGGCAGTGACTTAATCTGCTGTCTATATGAATAGGTTCAGCTTCATTGTCCCCTCTACAGTATACTGCACATGAGCTTTCCTTCGTGTCACCAATAATTTCTAACAAGCCTATCCGTCACTTAACACTTCATATATTATTCTAAAAAACCTGAAGAGGGACCAAGGACCTGTGCAACAAGTTACAGTAACTGTTCCTTGCTACAGAGACCACAAACTAGACCCAGATTACAATCTGCCTGTATGGTGGGGTACTCGGGCAACTCTGCTACATAAAGTGTTTTTGGTTCAAACAAGTAAAACTTGTAACTGTATAGACATGCCAACCTGAATAAAATATATACTTATAATGGTCTGTCAAATGTTTTCCCAAAAACGGGTTTCAGATTGTTTTTTTTATTTCGAATGCAGCCTAATATATTAGAGGATGAAAAATGGTAAAAATAAAATTAGGCATTTAATTCTATCCTAGGTCTTAACATTATATATATATATCTATGTAGATCTACATAGATATATACACACACACACGTCATCTGTGACTGAGGATTGCAAAATCTTCTGCTCTAAAAACCCGTAAGAAAGTGATGGTGACAGGGTTTAGCACATCACTTTGGGACAGGGTGTAAAACTATCATTCATATGCTGGCTGTAAGTATATTTCATTATGGAGGTCACTGTCTAAACCTGGATCCGGGAGTCCAAAGCCAGTAATATGGTTATATTGTTTTTTAAATATATCGGGGCAGGGCAATGTTCTAGCTAGTACGTATTGAAGGATAACCTGTGCCAAGACAATATGTAGGCCTCCATTACACCTCTCGCCTTCAGCAAATTCTGGTTACCCAGTTGAAGGAATGATCTATAGGCTCCTATATTTTCTAAGTCACGAGAAACATGTGCACCAGGAATTTAAAATTCCCTGGCAGCATGCTTGTTTCAGCTCAGTGCCAGTCCGACAGCTACAATCATCATAGGCAGGTATGTGCTTCTCTCAGGGCAGGTTCCTTTTAAGACACACTGCAATTAACCAACCTTGACTGATATGAATTTCTGGTAAAAGGTGAAGCACCATTATATTCTAAGAAACAAGGCTGCCACAAGAATCAAGATACTCATTACAATTTTTCCGGACCATACAGTAGTTCGCAAATCCAAAAGGAGATTGTACAATCAAATTGTAACCTGTGTAGCCAGTTTAGGAGCTTACTATTCTATATCAAAGCCTATAAAATTAAATTTAAAATAGTCTTACTACAGCCAGCCATGCGTAAAGTATTATTTACATAGAGACCACACAAAACGTAATTGCAGCATATTGGTGTTAAAGATTTTTAAACAACGTACACCATTTACCTTCTATGAAATTTAGGACTACATTTCATATTTTTGTTTCATTAACTGCATTTGAAATGAATGACATTTGCCCACGGTTGTGTGCCTGGTCACACAAGCTACTAACAAAGATCTGACACAAACATTAATGCATACCATGCCATAAATATAACAAAAAGGAAATAATTTATAAGTATACAGCTTCTGTCAGCTTTAAAAAGAGACTTAAAGTCCTTTGTAGAATTCTTCATTAAAGAAAATGACAACCGTAACAATTGGCCTCAGTAGTCTTACGTAAAATTTTAAGCACATTGTGCAACATTTTTGTGTTAAAATAAAAAATCCTCAAAATGATGCATTTCTGCGTCATATTTGTGGTCAAGACATCAACTGACATGGATACAAAAAGGGCAGAACAGCTGTAAACCCAGGTTCAGGTTTGGGCTGAAATGATGCTTTGTATATCGCAGGTATGCAGAAATATTTGAAGTTGTGCCAAATAGAATTTTAGGCTCTGCACCTTATTAGGTCCGATCTGAAGTCAGAGGTTTACTGCAAAAGCATTATGCAAAATGTGTGCCTCCTCATTAATGTATTAAAACAAAAATACTACTGTACATGGAAAAAAAAAAACAACCTACACAGAATAGAAAAAGGGCTAGCAAACAATTCACCTACTTTAATGCAGCAGTGCAGTGTTAGTATGGCAAGCTGAGCTGCCTTTTTTTATAAGCATTAACTTATTTTACATTTAGCACTGCTTACCAAGTATAAAGAATATTCAACAAAAATAGTGTTTTCATTATTTCAAGAGGTTTTTTTTTTACAAATGGTGCAAGTCTTTTAGAGCATGTCCGCGACACAACGAAACAAGCTCCTAGAGGACTGTCAAAAAATATATTTAAAAAAATGTACAAAACTGTGTGGTTCGAGGAGTGCTTATAAAAACAGTTACCTGAAGACAGATGTAGCCTGCTAGAAAGCTACACCGTACCGAGTAATCTCTGTAACACAACAAAACATTTTTTTTTTTTTACAGCAAACACTATTCTAACAGACCTGCTAGATCCTAAAAGGAGTGTCCTTCATTCCTGAAATTGGAATATAATGAGGTTGTACTGGTAAGAAATAAAACATGCACCTGATATAACAGCGAACATTCTTGTGACCCCTGATCTCTGAAATTGATGTGGAAACCACACAGTTTAGTAGCTATAAAATCAAGTAAAATTTTCCTATATAATCTCTGGATGTGGAATTTTTCTTTTCAGTGGAGTTACTGTGTGTGTAAACTAAGCCCTCTCATAAAAAGAGTGCTAGTCTAATGATAAGGCTACTTCCTCTAAAGTCATTAGAAACAAACCCTACCGTCAATCCATTACACAGGGTTTGTGTTGATATATTTAAAAGGAATAATCTGAAGGTAGTGTGTACATTTCCTCCCAGTACCCAGAATGGCAGATAGAAGCCCCCAAAAAAAGTGTAATGGGAACCATCGAATAGCTATCTAAAGAGTACACAGTCCATCCTCTTTAGTTACATGCACATGTACTTGCTGGAGTGTAATGAGGATATATATCTGGACCATATACAAAAAAAACAAAACCTTTCAAATGCTTCCAAGCTTCCTGCCAGTGCAGGGCAAACATTTCCCCAATCTGACAATTATTTTAAGTGTAAGAAATGTAAAGCTCTAGTGTAATACTCTCACTTTGTAGGTTAGCAAAGTACGGGCCTTTTCTCTTAGGCCTGCCCACTCACATTTTGATTTTTGTGCTCTTCGCACGTTTCTACTCTGAACTAAAGCCTTTATCAGTTGCAGTCTCCGAAAAATAGTAGCAACTCCCAAAATCACATTTGTGAGGTACATTCAATTTTTCAGAAATAATCATTTTGGCATAAACACTTAAAATCTAACTTAGAGAAAACAAAACGGTTTAAATATCTTTAGAAGGTTCTCTTTTTTTTCTTCTCTCCTAGACATTGGTTGTATAATATTTAAGAGACTCCTGAAAACATTTTAAAGTGGACATGTGTTCAAGGAATTAAAATAGATACAAAGAACACGATACATGCAGGCTCAATAGCAAAGAGTCCATATTTACATGTATAGGTTCTCTTGTTGAGGTAACATTTTTTTCTATTGAAAATAAAAGCATGCGTAAAGGCCAAAGTACTCAACAGTTGTACTGGGCAAGAGGAATTTACACACTTGCCCAATTTTGAGCATTTCCACCTGTTTGCAGGTCTGTTAAAAAAAACTGCCTTCTATTTTCAAGGTTAGTTAAACTCAAGGTGTTGAGTGTGATGTGTGTCACAACACAGAAGTGCCTGCCCAGGTTCATTACAACTCATATGGTAAGAGTAGGACTTTACTGCATGCCTAGTCATCTTTTGAATCATTTGCACTTGGGGACACCTCCACCTCATCCTGAGGTTCCAGTTCACTTTTTACTGCAACATCCTGTTCTTCCAACCTCATCAGTTTCATTTTTTTCTTTGGAGGATTTTTTAATGTGCCTAGCCTCTCTTTGACTTTGTACTCCAGTGTGCTATGTGGAATCCCGTAAATGCTCTGCGCTTTGGAAACGCTCATTTTGCCGTTCATGACAACGGCGATAGCCTCCTCCAATATCTCACTGTTATACTGTCTGTATCTCCCTCTTTTTTTCCTTGGTTGCTTAGAGCCAGGGTCCCCTTCTTGGTCGGACGTGGAATATGGCTGTCCAGAGGTAGACTGCTCAACATCTGAGCTCCAGGAATCAGTGGTAGAATCCAATATATTTCTCCGATTTTGCTTTGGAAGGATAGTCCTTAATTTTTTGCTAAGTGCGCTCTCTGTTTGTGAACCCATAACCAAAGAGTTGTAATTATACAGTTCCCCACTGCGGGACTCCCACGACAGATCCATACCACGGACCTGTGGAATTTTTAAATCGACTGGAGAAGAAAGGCCCATTTCCTTTTTAATTTCGTGTTTGTTTTGTATATTTTTTGGAAAGGCATTTGAATTTTCTGTGAGAAAAGGCAGGTCACTGATGTTGCTGAGTGCACCATTACCCCTATATTTCATGCGGCCAAAATTTAATTCATAGTGTGACTTTGCCCAAGAAGCTTCCCTGGATAAGATCAAATGCTGTCCTTGATTCTGCAGTCCAGATGAACCATGGCTGGCAGCTGTAGAAAATTGCTTTCTGTTATGCAATTCCTCACTAATCTGCAAGGAGCGAGCCAATGGCACTTTTAGGGGTGTGGAGTGGCCATAAGTTTCCCTGGTTGCATCCAGCAAACTTCTTGCAGGCACCCCATCAGTACTGCGTGGAAGTCCATCTGGACGGTGCTGGCTGGATCTCCCAGGTCGCCTAATTGGATGGAAGGAAACTGATGTGAGCAGAACTTGCACATGTAGGGAAGGATGGGTGAAGGGGCCACTCCTTTATTAGAAGCCCTTGCTTGGGTAACATCACTTATTTTTTTTTTAATAATCATTTAATCTCAGCATCAGTGTCAGTTAAGGAAAAAATAAAGTTCACAGAAAAGGAAAACAAATTTTGTGGGCAACAGAAACAAAAAATGATAAGCTGTCAAACCATCTTTGGCTGGGTTCACAAAGTCTTGCGCGACAGTCTGTAAATAGCATCTTTGTTATCATAAATTAGAATGAAGAAGTCAATCCCTTTAGGTGTATCCACAATTGATTAATGTGACGTTACCACTAAACAAGTACAGTAATAAAAGAGTAAGCCACTTATTACATAATGCAATCTAATTAAAACTAAAAACAGTGCCTGCTGCTCACATCGGAATACAGATGGGAAAAGAGTACATAAAAAGACATGGGCCATAATAACAAAGAAGCTCATATTTTGATCACAGACAGTAAAGGCAAAAATTTCTGCTCATATGGCTACCTTAAGAAAGAAAATGGCCTTTGCGTGTAATAAGGAATGAGAACATGGATGCGTGTCACAGGTCAGATCATAGTAGATAAGAAATTCAATAAAGTATGATTAACAACATTTTTGATGTTATTTGTAAGTATTTCCAAATACAGCCAGACCATTTTTCTCTTAAAGTTAAGGTATAAAGGTGACAGAAAGAATGATTTTGATGGTGATTGATTACAGATCATTCAGAGTTATGATTTAACGTGATTACATGATACAATATATGTATGCACATGCTAACACCAGCAAGCTCCCTACGACCAATACAAAACATAACCCCTTTAAAACATGCTCTTGTGTTAAAGACACCTCCACTTTCCTAAAATGGTCCTATACTGCTGGAAGGCTAAGAACTCAAAATGAAGCAGTATCCATTAAAAGAAAAAAAATGCATTCAAATCAGAAAACCAAAAATACGGAAGAGTTAAGGTTATAGAAACCAAACTGATAACATTAATGAGATAACGCTAACCTATCAAAAAGGCAAAACAATTTAATATCCAAGCTCCCCAAAGTGATCAAAGTATAGAAAACAAGACCAAACAAAACAATTTGTTTTTGAAAATAACATGCTTCATAAAAAAGGAAACAAATGGGATTTAAAAAAATAATATGTCTAGTATTTTTTTTATGATTATCAGTGAAGGCTCTAGAGTGCAAATTGAGGCAATAAACTAAAATATTATGCATATGCACTAGCAACTCCTACTCACATAGTCCACATCTCTGCCTGACTTTAATTAATATCAAGAAACCTTATTAACTTTCCTACTAAGCACCGATACAAAAAACAATGAATGAAAACAAAATGAGATCATGAGCACAACACAATTTTGATTTTACTTCACAATGGTAGATTGTGAAATTGTAATTTTAGAGAAAGTAAATCTTATTCCAAAGAGTGGAAGGCGTAATCATTTTGGCTTTGAAACAGATCAAGATCTGAAGATGCAACTGAAGAAAAAAAAAAGATGAAATGAATAATGATCTTACCCATTCCCTATAGCATTTGAGGTACTTGGAGAAATGCTTGAATGTGTGCTACCAGAACATGGACTCTTCTTAGTGGACAGATCAAGCACTCCGTCTGCTAAAATACACACAACAATTTTATCAGTACAGCATTATAAAAAAATAAATAAATAAAAATAAAATCAGACTATCCACCACAGGTAAAACCTATAAGCAAACTGTCAGATGTAATCAAGCCCATATTACATTAGGGAATTAAATTAAGAGAAAACATTAATCAGTTTTAGAAACTAGAGAGTCGGTCTTTACACACAGTGTGTTCTGAGCTGCAAGATTTTCCATGTGACAAAGCCTTGTCGTATCTAAAAGGACCACTAGCAATCAAAGACAAGGACAGAAAGTCATCTTAAAGTGACATTAAAGTCATGTTTTTTTTCCCCCGCCATTCTAATTCTGCTTTTAATACTTACCTTACGTGATGCCTCTTGCTGCGATCATCATCTTCCATCCACTCGTTTCCAGCAGTCCCCCCAGTGCTGGTGCCGGTCTCTGATCCAGTTCAGATTCCTCTGTGTCCCACAGGGTCTGTCCAGCGTGCACGCTCCCGTCGGCGTGCATTCACTGACACAATGTCGCACGCCCACATAATTTTCCTGCATGTCTGTTCGGATCTGGGTTCTGCAGCTGGGGCCAAGTGGCGCAGACATGGGAAAGCATTTCATATTTGGCCACTTGTTAATGTTCTGGTATATATCTACTGCTTGCAAGCAGTAGATATATGCAAAAAAACGAGACTTTAATTCTACTTTAAAACTTATAGAGAGAGAAAAAAAAAAGCATGTGAAAAAATCCAAGAACTAGGGTGAATAATGACAGTTAAAGTGACACTAAACTCAGGTGTCAAACCTGAGCATATTAACAAGACGTTTTTAAAGATTTTAGTGTCACTTTAAGACACGTTGGTCATCATTTCTCATGAATATATGTGCAAAATTGTAGTTTGAGGGGGGACAGGATCTTTCTAGCACCAAACAAACCGCCATCTACCGTTTTTTTTCCAGATGATCACTGTAAACCTTAACCACCTCACTACTGGCCAATTTAGTAAGACGGCATGTAGGGGGAGCGGTTGTTCTGAGTGAACGTTTAAAAACATCCTTTTTTTTTATGGTCGGTGTGTTTGCATGCAATGTCTATGCTTTTGCTATCCTTTGGCAGGGAAGATCGACAAAACCTAAATAAAGCGGCTCTGCGCCTTGCGATCACTGGTGACCAATTACAAATTGAAACACTCCGGGGAATTTATCAAAACTGGAGCAGACAGAATCTAAAGCAGTTGCACATGGCAAACAATCAGCTTCTCTCTTTTGTTTGTTCAGATAAGATTTGGAAACAGAGATGCTGATTCTCGGTGTGTTTACATTTAAGAGCCCACTCATTTCACCAAAAACGGAATAGTATGATATTTCAGAAGATTCTATGTTCTCATACATCAGCTTTATTTGCATTTACAGTTTTAGAATTCCCTTCATGTAAACCATGCAATATTTTGACAGGTGCAATATTATTCAAGCAAGACCATATCACAAAACAACATTATTATACAACAATGACCATGTCACAAAACAACATTATTATACAACAATGACCATGTCACAAAACAACATTATTATACAACAATGACCATGTCACAAAACAACATTATTATACAACAATGACTTAGAAACAAGTATAGGTATGTCTGTTCAAAGAACAATATAATTTAATTAGAATGCCTGCTTTTACACCCCTAAATTGCAGAGCATTCCTACAAAGGAACTGAACCAGTTTCCTCTTTCAAACCTTTCCTGAAAGCATGAGGGCCCATTCACACCATGCCCGGATCAGATCCCGACCGTTACATTTCTCCTGCACCAAAAATGCATCCCAATGTACTTTTATGGGCTTTTTGGGCTCTGTTCACACCAGTGCAGTCCCTTCCAGTGCAGGGGAAAAAAAATACTGCATGTCACTGGAACACGCAAAAAAAACACATGCAAACGCACCAGATTTGTAGCAATCTCATCAACCTTTGACTTCCTGTGAGTTGGAGAGGAGATTTTCATAGTGCGAGCAGTGTGTGGTCAGCTGGAAGATGGTTGATATTGACAGCTTACTCACACGCACACACGGAAGTGCTAAGATGAAGGAAGTGACTTAGTCACATGTGCCAGAGTTCCAGGAAGTAAAAGGAGATCTAGTAACATGTCCCTAGTTAAAATGGCCACCGTCAGAAGACTGGGGAAGAAAAGTAAAATAAGGAATGCAAAGAATACAAAGCCGGCAATTATCTACAAGTACCTGCTTGTAGATTGTCATTACTACACATTTCTAAATGTGGCTTTGTTATTTTGAAGATATGGTTCTGATAACAACTGAACACAGCTGATTTCGCCCTAGCAGCTACCATAATGTGAACCCCTACTACAGCAACATTTCTAAAGAGGGGCGTTTAGATTTTACATAGGGCTTTAAGTGCGCATATATCTGCACACTATATAGATTTGATTATACAGTTTATACAAAGGGTGCAGATGCCATAAGCCACCCAACAAAAAAAAGATTGTAGAGATTTAGCGTGTTTATTGACCACCCCAATTAGGGTTCGCTGGCTCATAAAGAGACATATAGCCAAACAGGGTGTATATTTTAGATACCTTTGTATATCCTCCTTTATTTGCCTTACAGGAGCACACCAACTAAACAGGCTAAATACCCAACTGAAATACATTTACGTGAACAGTTTAATACTTCTGCTCACACTCTAATGCATACCTATTCTGCATTTTCAGAATGGGAACACCAATATTTGGTACTGAAGCTTTCTGTGTTATCTGCCTGCTCAATAAATAAATGGTTTTTATGGTATACTGACACACTATGTGCCCAGCTCCTGCAGTAAGCTGCCTAAACACCTCCATATTAACACTGTCAGCACTCTACAAAGGGTTAAAGAACCTTTTTCAGATTATGTATTACTTTGTGTGCTTCCAATGGGAGATTTTCTCCTGTCTCCTTTGGAAGGGAGGGGAAATGCTTTTAATGGGTACACATATAGCAACAGAAAACCTGGTAGGTTTTAGACCTTTTCAACTATTTAAAAAAAAGTTTAGGTCAGATTGAGACAAAGTCCTGGATATTCACTAGTTAGGTGCCCGTTTCTTTAGGCCTTGTTCACACCGAAAGTATGTGTGTGTTCCAGAGCGGGCTTGCTCTATTTTTTGTGTTTGCAGTGGAATGGAACACTGGCAAAGTTTTGCCGCACGTCCGATCGCACTGCGGGCGGGATGGCTTGTTGTGACTACGAATACTGGATTTACCCACAGCACTCGTGCTACTCCTTGTCTGCCTGGCCTTTGTCCCCAACATCAAAGGCCACAAGACACGAGGTGCAAGAGAAGCCTCCTCAACCTTCGGTCTCCCTACGAGGTACGTGATACATACATACATACATACACACAGCGATTAAAATAGTAATGTACCTTTAAATATTCATAACTCAATGGCATTTTTAAAATACCTTGCTCACAGGGTTCTTCTGACTGGGGCTTCTTGACGGTGAGGTCTAATGGGGAATCTTGGTCAGCCATGAGAAGCTTGCTAAGCACAGGATTCTGAGTAGTTGCAGGGGGAGGAGAACTTTGTCCAGAGGGTGATTTCGGCAAGCTTTGGTTCTTTGTGCTGTTGGGCTGGCTGGAGTCCTGAGTAGAGCTATTTTTTGAGGTATATTCAGCAGCAAACTGTCGAATCATTCGCTGCATTATCTCACGAGCAACTAAGGGAATATTAGGATCAGAGTTCCTCGGGCTGTCTGGATAAAAACAGAAAAATAAATGTTATAGCTAAGCAAGTTTGAGATAATTTTCCTTTTGTTTTGAACAATGTGCTTGTAATATTGTAAATAGGAAATCTGGTTAAATACTATACAAGGGAAACCCAGGTTTAGTCAATGTTACCAACAAGTAGCCAAAAAAATCCTTTTCTTGGTGTCCATTAAGAGACACAGGAAAAACTTAAACTTTCGGGTTATACTGCCACCTACAGAAGGAATGAATAACCCCCTCCTAGTACCAACATGCCTCGGTATTTTTGCAAACAGTAAACAATCCCATTTTCATTCACATACATTCAAGAATCAGTTTTTCTGAAGAAAGCAGTGGCGGAGACTCACAGCCCAAACCATATGCAGACAATTAAGGGAACTCTTTTTGATGAACTGGAGCTGAACAGAGAGACAGAATAATGAGGATAATAATAATAATAATGATGCTTAGGGTGAAAGGCATAAAATATCTTGGGTAAGTAAAGTTCTGGGCCTCAACAAACCACTGTCCTTGTGTAACACACACACGCGATAAGGCCACCAGCTCAAACCCTCAAATCAGATAGGTGATGGCTACCACCTCATGTCACTGATGGGTACAAAGGGTGGTTTTTGAAGCACCAAAAGAACCAGGAGTCACAAGAGAGCCATGTGGGAGACAATCTGAACAAAGGCCATTATCAAGGAATGGGAAGCCAATGGTCTCTGAAACGAGATGGCTAGAGCAGAGACCTGACCCTTAATAGTGCTGAGGGACAAATGCTGGTCCAGACCACGGTGTAGGTAAGGAGAGGATTCATACCATAAAGAATCTTCTAATGTGGAAGCCCCAGACTCACACTAGGCAAAGTATGCCTTCCACGTACAATGATAGACGTTGCAATAAGTAGACTTCCTAGCTTTTAACAGAGGGAATAACTGATTTAAAGTTGCTGCGGTCTCTCAGACCTGGGCTTCAACCACCATGTTGCTGAGGCCAGTCACTGTAAAGCAGGAAATCGCCAGAAAAAGGCCAGTATGACTGCTAGGCAGTTATTCATGTGTAGAAGTAAGCAACAGCCTCCCAGTATTTCACATGAGTGGGTACCTTTAACTGGTGGACTACTAAAAAAATTGTTCCCCTTATATGACACTAACCTGAAGTGCTATACGTAGAATATTTTGGTAAAAGAGAAAACTGAAATGTGGGGGTTAAAAAAAAACAAGCATGAAAGTCACCAAACATGGACTGCAAAATAAAGTAGGAACATTTTTGTACCAGACGTTTCACAAAACGACATCAACACGAACCTTTCTTGTAGAAGACAGCATTGATGAACTCTTCTGCTTGTCTTTCTAGCCGAATAATTTTTGCTTGCTCTTGCTTAAGTATGTTTTCTTGGCCAGTTTCAGACACAGATTTATTAAAGCCAGCTAAATGCTCCTGCAAAAGTAAATTTATTTACAGAAGTTCAGAAGCAGTACACACTATCTGCAGTTTAACAGAAAGCACATTTTATTCATATTGTATTTGTTCACTAAAAGAAATAAAAATACGCTTCAAATATCTATATAGTTTAAAAAAGCAGTTCAAAAAATGCAAGTCTCTAGGAGTTGTTAGAGGGACAAAAAAAAACAACACCTGTGCCCTAAAATCTGCTATAACTTTCAAGATGTGCTAAATTGAAATGCAGGTATCCTGCATCACAACTATGGGCTTGTTCAAACCAGGTGTGTTCTCATGCATCCTCTCAAATGTCTGACATGAGAAAATCCACATGAGAAAATCCGTCCGGCCACAATAGGGCCAGACGCACTGGATCGCATTGTGGCTGGCTCAGTTTGTTGTGGGGCGGGAGGGGGAGTGGTGGTGCAGTGAAGTGAATGTCACACTTCACTGCACCACCAACAATCCAAAGTTAATGCAAATCCAAATTAAATAATCCAAAATGGCAAAGTCAAGAATATGGTGATCAAGGCAATCAGGGGTGCCGTACCTTTCCAAGAGCAATTTGGTAACCAATCGCTGGCCATAATGAGCGAAGCGTTCTTTCACAATCGATTCTTCACAGGCAGAGTGCATTTGGTATCACTCCGCCTGTGACAGGAGCCGGCGCTATAGAGGAGGCATTGGCTTATGCGGCTCTACTCCCTCCGCTGCTGCCTCGCTTCCTCTAGCGCTGGCTTCTTTGGCACCGCCGATTGTCTCCCGCCTCTCCTGTTGCTCTTCAAGTTCCCCCTTATGCCACCACCGGCCCTGGGAATGGTCACAACTAGGTCTTATTTTCAGGGTAGGTCTTATATTTTTTTATTTTCTATCTTATATTTTAGCAATTCCCAAAAATAGTACTAGGTCTTATTTTCGGGTAAACAGGGTAGTTGGTCCTTGAAGTCCACTAATAAAGTTCAAGTAAAATCTGAACTATAGTTGACAAATAATTTTGCAGCAGGTACATAATTTACCTTAGCCCTGACTTAACAGCAAGAAATAGAGAAATTAGGTTTACATTCATTTTCAAGAGCAATAAAGAATGACAATTCATCAATAATAAAACAAACATTCTAGCTAAAAATGAGCAAGTGCCCATTTACACCGGATGCGTTGCATGTGCTAACGGAAGGGCACAGAAAAATGAAAAGGTGCAAGTGCACACCGCTCCATTCCGTTGCACTGGCAAAAAAAAAAAAAAAGAAGTAGAACATGGATAACCTTTTAGCAGCGCAACATAAAGGATCCGGTGTGAACTAGCCTCATTCTTTGTTGGTGACCTTTCGTTAGCATCCGTTGAAGACCGGATCACAAAGGATCGGAAGAAAATCAGAAGGTACAATGGCAATTCAACAGACTCTCAGAAGGAAGAGTCATATTAAATAGTGTATAGAAACAACCAAGACTTAATTTTGGTTCTAGCATTCCCTAACATTTTTACCTCTGGCTGTGTTGCTGTTAGAGATTTTCCCTCACTTCCTGTCCTGGGGATAACCTTTTTATCATACAGAAAGTGACGAAATCTCTCCAATGTCAGTAAAATCTGACCCAAGTTTAAATCCATCCCCACTCTACTCAAAACTAAAGAAAATAAAAAAAACACTAAAAGCAGGGTAGGACAAATCCCAAGAAACAAGTAGTCAATGCTCCTTAAAAATTACTGCTGATGCCTAACTTTTAAGGGTCCTTTAGCTGCTGTCAATGGAGCTGGCTCCTGGATTGGACAGGCCTACTCCTGAATTCCATATTAATTTGTCCACCTCTGTTTTCAAGGAAATCCGTACTGAAGGCTGTGACACACTGCACGTGAAGCAGTGCGGAGCGTTGGCGCACTGCCTTTGCAAGCAGTGCGTCATATAATTTTCTCCCTGGCACGTCAGCTTGCAAGAGCTCGCATAGCTGAGCGTGCCGAGATTAAAAATGTCATCTTCAGCCAATCAGCTCACAATGCGCCATCTAGCCGGTTGTTGCGCACGAGCCGATTGGCTGAAGGTGCAGTCAATCATCTGACTGCACTCAGCTCACACACTGCACGCAAAGCTCTGTGCCTGACAGCTTTGCGTGCAGCTCTGCATGGAGTGTGTCACGTGCTTAAGAGAAACAGGTAGTCGTTCTAATCCTTCTAAAAGAAGTTTCGACGTACACTGTACGTCGTCAGTCACGAAGGGGTTAAAGCCGACTGCATAGTCTTCAGTCACTGACCTAAAACAAGTATGCAGATGAGGAATACAAACTTCACTTGCTGCATACTTGTTCAGCAAAAGATTAGCGTGGCCATGCAACTGTTTCAGAAGGCATCAGGCTATTTCACTAAGCGCAGGTTTCTTATAACCAAATCAAATATAAATGAAGAATAAAACTGTAGGTTGTAAATAAATTTTACATAGCTATCTTTCAAATCAATATGTTAAGGTGCACATAAACAGATGACAGTCAACCAATTTGGCGAGCAATTCTAGGTCAGGTTTGATATTAGTGCCCAATCATGCTTTCCCTGAGGGCCCAGTCACACCATCAAGGGTGTGTTCCAGTGCGTTCAGCCTCTGGAAAGCACTGGAATGCAACCCAGCCTGCTCAGTCTTTTGGGGAGACGGGAGGGGGCGCGGCGGTGCTTTGAACTCAATGGCACCACAGCCACGCCCTCCGCTCGCGGTGCGATCACCAGCACCCAAACGCATGGCACATTAGTGCCTGCATTCCGGTCCAGTGTGATCTGCAAAAAAAAGTGTTTGCAGCATTTTTTTGCAGATCGCACTGGACCGGAAGCAGGCACTAATGTGCCACGCGTTCGGTTGACGGCGATCGCACCGTGGCGCCAGAGTTCAACGCACTGCCGCACGGTTGCGTTCCAGAGGCCAAACGCACTGGAACCCACTCCTGATGGTCTCACATGGCCCTGACACCGAGACCGTCTGCGCCTGCCTTCCCTTTATCCTATTTATTAGGACTGTTTGTGCAACTAGAAGCTTCTGTTCAGGGAAAAACAGACACAGGATATACTATGGAACTGTTAAGATTGTGCATACATGTTCAATTGTCCACTAATGTCTATAGACAGCATTAAAAAATCCTAGTAGAAACATCTGGGATCTACAAACTACACTTTTGCGAATGTAGAAGAAAACATGTGCAAGAGATATCTTCTAAGTTGGCTGCTTCAGGACTTTGAAGGGGCAGATCAAAAGGACTGGGACACAATTGTATAATTTATAAACTACAATAGCCGTTTGGTAAATTAAATGACACACAGTGTCTCATGCCTGACAAATACCATCATATCAACTCTGCACAAATATCAGCTACACCAAAAACATAGCTACTTCCATAAAGCTACTAGTTATTCAAAAACTGAGCTTCATATATAAACCTAGTAAGCCAATGTAAGTTCAGGTACTTAAAATAAAAAGCAACAAATCAAATCTAGGTACAATAGGAAATTTGAAGTAGAGAGGAAAGTCATTCAAATCACTCAAACTTC